TTATTATTATTATTATTATTATTATTATTATTATTATTATTATTATTATTTCGTGCTTACACCTTGTTTATACTGTCTCTTATACACATCTAGATGTGTTGGTTGGGCCGACGTTGGTTAGAGGTTGCAAATATTAGATGTAATTAAAGACGTTGTCGCAACGTCATAGTACTTTGTTGGCCCGACGTCGGTAAACGTTTGAAATAGACGTTGGTTACCACCGTTGTTGGGCCGACGTTGGCCAGAGATGTGATTACAGACCATGTCTCAACGTCACAGCATAGGCGTAGATCCCGGGGGGGATGGAGGGGATATATCCCCCCCAATATTTGACAAGGGGGGATGGTCCATTGTATCATCCCCTCCCAATATTTTGACTATGTATGGGATAAAATGCAGCTTTACACACTTCAAAAGACTGTCACAGAAATAATTTGCACTGTCTTATGCGCTTACAAAGATGAAAATTAGCATAATGTATTAATGTTGAAAACAACATTATTTTTATCTGGTACCAATCTAAGCTCTTCTTTCCTTAGATGTTAGATGTGCTTGCAAAGAGAGCCACATTTCACAATGAAGGTTGTGTATAGTACGACATCAGTAATGTTATATCAATTCCAAGAATGTTTAAGGTTATATCGATTGATGAGGAATTTATTGATTAGGCCTATAACAGCAAATTGCATCAATTTATTTTGCAAAAACAAGGTTTCCAGCTTCAGAGGGGGGCACATCTCCTGTCCGCACAAGGGCACACAATGGCGCTAACACCAGGCGCGTAACAACAACAACAACAACAACAACAACAACAACAACAAGAACAAGAACAAGAACAATAACAATAATAACAATAACAATAACAATAACAATAACAATAACAATAATAATAATAACATACAATCCTCATTTCCCGGTTAGTATTTTACAATACCCACCCTACCCTACCCCACTCCCCATATAGAAAACAATACGACATAGGGCTTATCTTATTTATAATATAGGCCACACACGTGTGTTTGAAACTAAATATAAGCATCATGGTGGTATTTATTACAAACACATTCTTTCACCATCTATACACATTGAGGCCCTTCTTTTAGGTTAAAATGATCTATCTTAAATTTGTCTTTCTTGAGTTTGGCACTATTATGTGTTTAAATAACTTAAAAGGATAAAACTAAAAAAGCCCTAAAAAATGCGCGCCAAGCGCGCAAAATATATATTTTTTTAAATTCTAATTTCGTCGGAATTGATGAAAACTCCCTAAAATGTGCAATTTATAGAGGAAATTGGCCTACCGTAACAAAAAATGCACGCAAAGAATTTGAGAATTTTTCGGCACTTTCAGAGGATGCATTTGTCAATGGGTGGGGAAAGTTTTTCCAAAGATTGATATTTTCCCCTTGTCCCCCGGTGTTTTTAATTCTAATTTCGTTGGAATTGATCAAAACTTCCTAAAATGTGCAATCTTTAGAGGGAATTGGGCCATGCTAACAAGAAATGCGCGCGAAATTTTAGGTTTTTGGGCACTTTCAGGGGATGAAAGGGCATTTTTAAAGGGGTGGGGAAGATTTTTCAAAGATATTTTCCCCTTGTCCCCCAGTGGTTACGCCATCGGGCAGCATAGATCAAATGAGTTATTACAGTTTTTGAAGTGGAGAAGGGGTTGCAGGGTGTTGTGAGTTTGGTCATTATGATATCTTTCTTCTTATTCTTGTCTTTATTTTTCTCTTCTCTTTTTCTTTCCTTTTCTGTTCCTCCTCTTTCTCTTTCCCTCCCTCTCCCCTCTTTACGGCTTGGTCAGCCCGGTAAAAACCGTCAGGGGAGGGGCAGTTTTCCCCTCCCCCCTCGCCGCGCCTGTTACAACACTGGCTAACACGCCAATCATCCCCCAAATAAAACTAAAAAAGCCCTAAAAAATGCGCGCCAAGCGCGCAAAATATTTTTGTGTTTTTAATTCTAATTTCGTCGGAATTGATGAAAACTATCTAAAATGTGCAATTTATAGAGGAAATTTTCCTACCGTAACAAGAAATGCGCGCAAAGAATTTGAGAATTTTAGGCACTTTCTGAAGATGCATTTGTCAAGGATTGGAGAAAGATTTCCAAAGATGGATATTTTCCCCTTGACTCCCGGTGTTTTTAATTCTAATTTCGTTGATCAAAACTCCCTAAAATGTGCAATTTAGGAAATTGGGCCATGTTAACAAGAAATGCGCGAGAAATTTGAGGTTTTTAGGCACTTTCAGGGGATGAAAGGGCATTTATAAAGGGGGAAA